TAATTACAAAAAAAAATAAATTAAATCTAAAATGTGATAAAAAGCCAAATTATTATAATTTTATGTACAAAGAGAGTTAGACCTGCCACCTGGCTTCAGCTAGAACTCATTTTACTACCTGCAAACCTTTGTGGAGAAGATATGGTTTAACATCAGCCTTGAGTGCTGCATTGCAGTCAGTTCAAGTCTACCCAGCTTTGCATTGCTAAAAGGTGTCTAGACTCCCAATTAGGCTTGCAAATTTCTACCACCCCAAAATTCCAAGTACAGCTGTTTTAATCTGGTAGGCTATGTGTGTAGCAAGAAATAAGTGGTTGGAAATTTAAAACACAAGAATTCTCATTAATGCCAGTATCCATCCCCTTATTTTAAACCCCCTGCAGAAATCTTGCTACTGAAACTTCCAAATGTTCATCTGTGCTGTTCATCTACTTTTTTACTCTTTATTCTACAAAATGCTCAGTTCTGCACAGCAAAGCACCAGCATAACCACTGACTTAAGACTGGGTAGTCATGTGGTTACATTGTGATTTGGTTCTGTTCTCTTCAAATCATAAATGCTAAAAATTAGCTATGGCCTGTAACTTCATGTTCTAAAACATTAACACATGTTTTTTAAATAAAATTCTCTCAACAGTTAACCAATGGTCCATAAAACAACAGAAAAGACAACTCAATGGGAAGGAGCATCATTTTTGCAGTGATACAAGTGATGAATCTCCCTGTTCCTGTTAAGAATGTGGTCTGTCACTCATAAAGGTTCAGTTCAACTTTGTGAGTCAGCAGGGATCTAGCACAGGGCTATTCCATCAAGTCAATGCCTTCTGGCTTTCCTAACTTGGGAACATGGGAGTGGGAAGCATCCTGCAGGAAAAACAGAGATGTCTTTTCCTAGTTACTCATTTTAAGAATTTTTCTAAAGGATGCAATAATGCCAGTGGAAACAGCTAAAAGTTTGAGTTTTGCTGTACAAAGAGGTTAGAAGCAGTGGCTTTCTTAAAACAGCATTCTTAAATATAAGCACTGGTATCCAGAGAATGGACATGAGACAATAGGCACAAATGGAGGTACCCAAAATTCCACTTAAACATAGGAAAACACATTTTTACCATGAGGATAGGATACTGGAATGGCTGCACAGAGAAACTGTAGAATCTTCATATTTGGAAATACTCAAAATCTGACAGGGCATGGCCCTAAGCAACCTGATCTAGGTGACCCTGCTCTGAGTAAGGGGTTGGACTATCTGATCTCCAGAGGTAAGCTTTCCAGCATCCATAACTCTGTTACCCCAGTGCAGTGATCCAACATGCATGTTCACAATTCTAAATCACTGTATTGAATTTGGATTGGTTAAATAACTCAAGGTGTATATTGCCTGGGGAAAAGAATTACCTTCCTTCTTTTGGGAACTGTGCTCACATGGCACAGATGTGTGCAGGAAGGGTATAATCTGCAGCCAGTGTCAGGTTGTCAGTAAACCAGAAAGGCAATAATTTTATTCTGAAAAGAAAACAGAAGGAGTATTCTTTAAATAACAACTTAAGCTTCTGGAAAACAAAAAGTTTAAATTTTCAAAGAAACTCAACCTTCAGAACAAACACACTGCTGAACAGGGAAACACAGCATACAAGGGAAAAGGCTGGACCTCTTAAAAAACAGCTGCAATTAGGACAAGATGTCCTGTGCACTCAGTACCATGGCCTGGATGTCAGTCACATTTCTGTTCAAATTTCAAAGGCTTTTGTATGAAGAAAAGATAATGTAATTGAAAGGGCATGAAGGTGGCTGTGACAAGCCCAGACATGTTGTATTCACACAAACATATCCACATTGGTACATGCTATTTTCTGCTATTAAAGGTACAGGGAATTTCTTGATTAAAGCCTTTTTTTTTTAACCTTACAGCACATCCTGAAATAGTTCACTGACAAAGACATAGTTACTAAGTACTGATAATCAGTGGAAGGTGAGTTATTGTGATTTAAAGATTTTCTTGGTGTCTAATAGCACAGATCAGACTACAGAAAAGATTATCCAGTGTGACTGAAACTATGGTCCTAATGCAACAATATTCTGATAAAACTGAATTTCTATTCAAGGCAATGCACTACAACTAAGCCAGCTTGACTGCAAATTGGATACCATTTAATCTTTCCACTTCCTCTGATTTTCAGTCAGCAGCAACCTCTGACAGACACACTTCCAGCCACTCACAGAGATGGTATTAGTGCTACAAGCAATAAATAGTGGTGGAATCATTATCGTTACTATTATCCCACAGCAAAAGGTCCTGCTGTCACTGTTAATATCTCCAGAAAAAGCAAATCCAGAAGATGAACCCCATTTCAGAGCAACACTGGCCTCAGTTGGGCAAGAGACCAGATGAGAAGGAAACCATCTATGGACAACAGCCACAGACACACCTGTGAGATCTGGTTCCTACGTGCAAGAAGTGACAACCCTGTTATTTCACAATTCTTGTTATATATTACTCTATGACCTTCCTTTTTATAGGCTGACTTTTGCTATCTAGATAATTAAAGATAGCAAAGCTGGCTCTGCACTCCACAGAGTTAGTGCTTTATTACCTCAATACCAGAAACAAAGCAAAAATCCAAAAATGAAATGTCATCAGTTTCTCAAGGAATAAAATGCTGTTGTAGGAGTTCAGTTCAGTCACCCACACAGAATCATCCAGTGCTATTGGGCCTCCAGCTCCTCCTGGAGGAGGGTCGGAACATGGATCACCTGGAAGCCACATGGCTCACCTGAAAGCCAAAGAGGGACATCTTGGAGATCAAGAACATCTCAAAGGCACTAGGCAGTTATGCTTAGGCACATGAATGGAGCCCAAAGTTTGTGCTTCTTCTCTAGACTAGCTGATGAGCCCCTTCTGGGATACTCAGCTATGCTGCACAACAAAAGCAAGGAAAAGGACTTCCTCAACCCTTCTCCATGACAATGCTTTTCAAAATGCCCTTCTTCTCACTTTTCAGAAACTCAAATTAACCCCATTATCTCTGCTTGAGTGGCAGGATCTGCACACTTATTTTCTCAGGCACAGAGAGGATAACATTATTTTGAAACTAAGACTAAGGAACATAAAGAGAGAATTTTAAAGCTGAAATACAAGGTTCATGTTGTTAACACCATGAAGTTGCTAGGAAACAAAATAGAATCAATTGCTGCAACTTTTAAAACACGTATGCAGGACTACAAGCAGAGATATGAGCAAGAAACACCACACACCCTACTTTGCCTATATAATTAACATATTTTTAGCAACGACCATGATCCAAGCACAAGAATAAAAGAGCTGTCAATTCAAACTGTCCAAGTACTATGAAGGTAAAGAGAAGGCCAAGTGCCCTCACACAGCTCTCATTGCTCACTTCTACAAAAATCACTAGCAAAACCCTTTTCTGGCAGTATGTGTGGGACCCAGAACAATTCACAACCCAGTAATTAGTAGATGCTCCCTCCCCTAAAGGATACACACCTTTGTACAAAAGTAGCTGCAGTTATGGGGAAATTCAAGAGAAATGGCAGAAATTGTGGGGTTTTTTTGTTTTGTTTGTTTTTTTGTTGTGTTGTTTGTTGTGGGGTTTTTTTTAAATCTGAATAAGACTAAGTAACCTGGCAGCCATGTCTGGTTTATTTGTTTAGATTTGTTATTTTTCATTTATCAATAATTTAAATGATCTATCTTTATGCAAGAATTACAAAAGCAGTCACAAAGGATTGTCACATAGAGAAGGGAGACATGAAGGGGGAATAACATCAATTTTTAATCTACAGGAAGACATGAGGCAAAGGAAAAGTATTTATATCATAGCTTTCTTAATGCCTTCAAAGAATCTCAAGATTCTGTTGACACTTCATGGAAGTGCTCTCCTTTATCACACAAGTAAACGTAGGATAACTTTTTTGCTATTTTCCCAAGCTATTTGGGAAAGCCACCAAGCCATTTGGTGTCCCCTAGATCACACAAGATAATCAGCACCAATGCAAAGGTTAAAATGTGTTTTTGCTTAAATAAATCAAATTAACCAGAGACATTGCAGAACCCACTTCTCACCGCGTGTGGTAACAAAGCCTTTTATCTTGCTTCCAAAACACCTGTGGAGCTGAGGAATAGATTCTGATTATCTGATTTATGTTCAAAAGTGACAAACTTCACAAGACTTCTGTTGAAATCAGAGAGTATTACAGTCATGGTGTACAGTCCTATTCAAGGGAAACAAGAACTTGAAAATTTATCTCTTAAGTAGTTAGAAAGGAGCAACTGTCAGGTCTGTGTTAAGACCTAATAAATATTGGGAATGGTTGAATACAAGAGCTTTTATGAAGTCAAGTGTAGTGCTTATTTAAGAACATGTGTTTATGGTTTAGAAATTTAAGTAATACTTTACAAGGTTAGAGAAAGTGTGGAAGTCCCCTCTGTAATTTATACCTAACTTGAAATTAATGAAAAATACATGTTAAAATAGAACACATTAAACAGAAACACATGAATCTAAATATTGAAAGGAAGAAAAAAGACCTCTTTCAAGGATGAGCAGTTGTAGAAATTTTATTACCATTATTTAAACTGTACCTTAATTTTCTTCCTAGCATTAATAACTATCACTTCTGAGCTGTTAACTACTAGACAGACTCTAAAATGCAGGGATAGCTGAAACCAACTTAACTGCAACAATTCAAGTAGCAGCAATCTAGCTGTAACAGCAAGGAGACTTCACAGAATAAATTAATTGCAGCAACAAAATACTTCCACCGTACTCCTGCTTCCACTTGAAAGGCAGAAATCTCCACACAACACAAATTTTCTCTTTCTGTGCCTTAAGGTGTAAGAAGTGAAGGACTTGGCTCCCTACAGCACACAGGCAGCAAGAGTTGGGAACAAACACTGGGTAGCTGCCTTTAACTGATTTGGAGGACACAGAGTGAATTGGGGTTTAAAATTACTGTATTCTTAGGAACCCCCAAGCTCTTACCTTGACAAACAGGGAAATCTCACAGTCTTTCTGAAAGTTGTCAGTTTCTCCAAAGTTATTGTTATGGGGAAATTTGAAGGAAGTGGAATAGTTGGAAGAAGTGTACTGGGTCCGACGCAACTGGAAATCCGGAGGAAGATGCATGCTGCTCTCAAACATGCTGTCTACTTGTTTATCTTCCACAGTTGGATTAATTAGATCCACATCCTGGTATAGGTGGTCTTCTTCAACATCATGGTGAGATGAAGAACCATCCACCCCATCAGGCCCATGCAGAGAGGCCACAGAATTACTGCAGCTATCTTCTGAGCCCTCTTGGCTACTATCCATGCTCTCTGGGATAGTAGTGATGGAATAAGGAGATACCAGATCTTCATGGACATGATCATAAAGATTATCCCCTTTGTCTTCCTCAGAGTCTGGAATCTCATAGATATTGGTGTTGTTAACATTTTGATAAACATTGGTAAAGGCCTGATCTTCCATGACTGCTGGCTGGTGAGTTCTCTCTGCCTTCTGGTACGTTAAGAGACTACAACTAATGCGAGATGTCTACAGACAAATGCTCTTTAGGAGGAAGCAGAGTCTGTAGTGTGCTTTCTGAGTGCTCTGCTACACATGGCAGATCTCCAACAATCATTTACCAAGAGCTTTAAATCAACAACTACACTTCCACTAAAATAAAAGATAGGGCTGTCTCACTTTTAACCCCTTTGTCGATCTGACTGCTGGTAACTACATCTCAGGAGCTGCAAACCACTTTTTGTTCTCCCAGATACAGCCTGGCCAAGCATAGTGAAAAAGAACTGGAGCACCTCTCAATACCAGGCAGTTATTATAAACAAATATGTGTTCTTTCACAAGACATCAAAAGTAGTTTTACTGGAAGTCTTATGTACATATTTTTTGTAAAGAGGTAGAAATTCAGACTTCATCCATTTGCTTATATTTTCAATATACAAAAGCTTTGCTTCAAGGAAAAGCACAACAAAACTGCCTTAACAATGAAACCTATATGCAAGGTTTCTGTGGTGACTTACACCATCATCAACAAATAATGATGATTTCTAGAAAACTACAAATAAAAGAAAAAAAATTATAAAGTGGTATATCCACAAGAAAAAGGTATCGGACTTGAACTCTTTCCAGTTCTGCGACTGGTTCATTTTCAGACCTTGAATCAGTCATTTCATGTTTAGTGACTTCACCCTCTCATCTATAAATCAGGGCCAAAACTGTAACAAGTCTTGTGAGCTGCCTTAGAATCTAGGAAAAGAAAACACTGAATAAGCATTCAATATTAGTACACTTACTATATCAATTACTTATACTCACAGTTACATATCATAAGATATGGATTGGGTTTCTATCCCAAGTTTCCAAAGCTGAGTTAATGCCACTTGACTTTAGTAATCTACTTAGCCAACTTGTCTATAGAGTGCCTTTGCTCTAAAGAATGGAGGCAGAAAACTCCACAGAATCTAAAGTGCATTAAGACTTCCAACTTCAGCATAAAGTGGAATTGTCTTTTAAAGACAGATACACATTCTGGAGCATTTGAATCAATAAAGCTAAAAGTCATTAAAAATCCAGATCTCAATTTATCCAAGTTATGAGAACTTCAGACCTTATTGACTAAAAACTTGTCTGGATTATGTAGATTATTACCAGAATTCCTAAGATCTAACTATAGTTAACTTTTTGTGTTTGAGCCAAAAGGAAGAATAAAGGTGCTTTCTTCCCAACCTATCTTTGTAACCTCCTCAGAAGTAACTGCCACAGCCAGGTAGGATTCCTAAAAGAAACATAGAGGAGAGGTTAGAAGGACTGCAAGTCCAGACACCTCCAAACAGAACAGCCAGGGAACACAAGGTGTTCACATGGTAGAGTCACAGGTGCTGACTGTCTGAGATTTATGATTGTAGTTCATTGTAATTATTCTTACATTGAACATTTTAGACTACTAATAAAGTTAAATATCAAAAGCAAACCAGTAGTTTGACTTACTATACTTGGGTTCACCTTCTAAGACTCCTAGAAAACCCCAGAAGTGTCAAAAACATAGTCACAACCAGGTTTAATCACTCTAACAGTGAGGGAAAACACTACAGCAGAATTTCAATTCCCTATGTGGAACCAGCAATACACCACAAACATGCAGGTAAGTAACAGATCAATGAGACCTCTTAGCTCATGAGTACATATCTAGCCTGATAAAACTCAAGGACTGCAAGGATATATAACCCATAAAGGCCTGATTTCAGCTATTATTACCCACAAATTCCTGCTTGGCATAAGTGATTAATGCAAGCAGAACAAAGCACGTGTCCTCTTTATATTTTCTGCAGCACATAATTCTTCACATGGAAATCCTAAATACAAGATTCTGAACTGTGTGCTGTGTAATCTGTATTGCTAACTTCTAGCCCTCGTGACCAGCTCTTAAGCTAACAATAAGTCTGATTTAAAATCACGAGCTTACATAACTAAATCTCAAGAAACTTGCCCAGAGAAGCTGTGGCTGCCTCTCCCTGGGAAGTGTTCAAGGGCAGGTTGGATGGGGCTTGGAGCAACCTGGTCTAGTGAGAGGTGTTCCTGCCCATGGCAGGGAGGTTGGAACTAGATGATATCTGAGGTCCCTTCTAACACAAACCATATTATGATTCTATGAAACTTGGGAAAACCAATGAGGCAACTAGAAATTTTTATTGCTTTAATTTTTTAATTAATATTAGATATGCTGGGATCATAAAAAATTCCCTCCTTAGTCACTCTGCCGGCAAATAACTTGAGGATGCACAAAGCAAAAAGAAGAGCAAAGTTCAGTGTCATAGTATTAAATCAAGTGACTGATTATTTTTTTCCCTCCACAAAGAAAGCATTAGCAGGGAGCAGCAGCACCTGCTGGAGGGTATAAAATATCACAGGTAAAATAAGGAACAAGAAAGAGAGGAACATATGAGTCTTATTTTTTACAAAATACAATTGATGTGCATTTAATTAGTCAGAAACATGAGCTACGTAAGTTCTCCTTTCCTCTGCCACCCTCCCAGGACAAAGAAAAGTATCATTCAGCTCCAAGATTCAGAGTTCACTCTTGTGGCAGAGTGATAAAGCCCCATAGCAAACGTGACCACACTTAAGAATTTATCAACGTGAAAATCAGGTGCATTTCAAATCACATTATATGAACTCACCACTGGTTTACAATCCTTAACATTTCATCTTCAGGGAAGACAATTTTTAAGCCACAATTCAAAAGTCATGTGGTAACAAAAGAGATCAAAACTGAGATGTTACCTGGGACACTTGTGTCTTGGGCTGCTCTCCTTTGTCCTGTGCTGCTGCCTCACTATTCCCCAGCCAAAAATGCTCCACTCTGACAAAGGAGCAGGGCACAGAAGCTATGTACACGTGTCCAGTGAAATGGGACTTCTCTCCTGCAAGTGAGAGGAAAGAGGCTGTATGAGGCAGGGAAGCAGAAAAAGGTCTCAGCACCACTAAGCGCTCCATTTTCCATTGCAAAATGATGCCCTCTGAGCAACAGTCCCAGCCCTACAGCCTGGAATGGAAAACTACAAAAAAGAGAGATCACTAATTTCATCCATTCCTTCAATTCCTCTGCTCTCAAATCTAGGAGGAATTGAATCAATGTGGCAGTTAGTAATAGCAATACCGCTGTTAGTTCTGTAATTCAAACTGTGTCACCATTCCATGTACCTCCCATGCCACATGAGCCATCTGATAACAATGGTTCCTTGCTGTGGAGAAATACAAAAAAACACATCAACAGCAAAAGCAGCAAAATTCATATAGGAACAAAGAATATGAGCAAAAGAACTCCTCATTTTAAAGGTTTATCTTTACTTCATTACTGAATTTCCACTTTTACTCTAAACTTACTCCACTTTAAACAAGAAATACCAGGATTAACAGGACTGTAACTCCACTTAGTATGCATAAGACACTAGTTACACTCCACCTGTAAGATGCCTTAGGCCTCATTTTCAGAAACTTTGTTTATACTAAGTTTACATGTCTATTGTTCAGGATTTAGATTAAGCTAACCCTGATCCTTTCTACAGTTTAGTGGACAGTGATGGGCATCTTGGAGTATGCAATAAGAAGAAATGGAAATAATTTTGTTAGAAGTGACATGAAGTATATTCTGGAGATGGTCTCTAATACTGCAATACTCAGTCATCTGAGCTCCCTGAAACAGGTACCTTTTTAGACAGCAAGGTTGGAATTCACCTACATTTAGAAGCCTACAAATGAACTCAAAACTCATGCTAGGAACATAGATAATGACCTGGTTCACTTTATAGAGACACACAGAGCTCAGTTCAGTAGCCCAAACACACACTGACATTTATTGGTATTTTTTTTGCTTAGACCAACTTGATTTTCTCTGATGGACAGCAAATACAGTAAGGGCCCTAAGAGACTTAGAAAAATATGTTAAAATCAGACCACTGAAGCTCCTACTGAAACTTTATCTGTTCTCCCTGTAACCCTAAAAGAAATCAGCACCTCTAGCTTGGACTTAAAATGTCAAGCAGAAGACTGGCTTGTAAAGAAAGTCCTTCATTGTGAGCAACAGTTATCTCTCACCTTCAGAGCAGAAGGGTGGAAAAATGGAAGAGTAACAAGAATGTCAGACCCCTAAAGAACATACCTCACATCTCAGACATTAATAATTAAAGGCAAAAATCCACATTACAGTATTTAATTCAGATTCGCAATACAACAGGGCTTTTACCTGGGTATCCCCCTCTACTAAAGACATTAAATAAGATACTGCACAGTATTGGAAAGTTCAGCTCACCCATTACCACTGCAAGTAGCTTCAGTAGTTAACAGCCCTGTATAGAAATAGCAACCTATTTCTACTGGCATTTCTCAGGAGGTCATTTCCAGTTGGTTATTGCTATGATTTGAGAGCTTTAATGAAAGAGTTATTCAGTTTTATTTGCCCTCCATGAAGATACTTGCACACTTCAAGCAAAGAGCCTGTAAATCTTTCTTCATAACCTAAGCAAATGGAGGTTCTTCAGTTGCTTGCTCTAAGGTATTTTTTTCCAGCCATAAAAGCAGCAAGAAAATTGAGTATTTAAAACAGAACTGTCATAGTTCTTGGGAACAGCTGAACCTGAAACTCAATGGTGGTAAAGGACTTCTTTTATGTCAGTAGAAACCAAGGGATCTTAGCAACCCATAGGGTCAGGCCCCATTGGTCTCCTTGGTCTCATAGCAGAAGGGGGGGTGATCCGGTCCTAGGAAGCATCTTGAGACTGATGCTCTTCTTCTTTACACAGTTAATTCCTGGGATACAACACATCAGTTACCAAGTCACTGTTCTACTTTTGCAGTGAAAATTCAGTATCACCTCCCGCATTTCTTTGGTCTTGTTATTTGTATAGACTAAGTCTTTTCTGCCAAGTTGGTGATTTACATGAAAACACTCTTTGAGCCTTTTGATTAAT